ATATATATATATATATATATTATATATATATATATATGTATATATATATATAAGTGTGTACACGTGTGTTTGTGTGCATATCTGTCTGTGTATATGTGCGTCTGTGTCTGTGTCTGTTTGTGAGTGTGTTCGTTACAGGGACTAGATGTATGTATCTAGCTCTGTACGAGACACTACACATTGTTACATATATGAACAACCCAAACAATGTCGTATATGTGTTGTGAGTGCATATACGCTTAGTAATTACACGGCTGTTTGAAATACGTACCCTGTGGAAATTACCCTTTGACGACGTGTGCGGACCTAGTGTATCGGTGGACATGCGTTTGTCATTTTGAGAGACTTTTTTAGATAGCGTGTCTTTCATATTAATCTGCCTTGTTGGTATCCCTGTTAAGGTTGTATCAAGTGCTTGTGTAGTTGGGTGGAGCAGGTCTGTCTGCTCCGTTGTTGAGCACAAACGATGTGACGCTTGAGTATAGTCTATATCGATGTGTGTGCAGGTATCTTCGGTACCTGTGTTACTGATTGTATGCTCATCCGCATGTTTGCATATATGAGGCTTTTCTTCTGATTGTGGAGTTTGCGCGGGGTTACTCATACTTCCTTCTGTATTGCCCAAACATTTCTCAAAACTTGCGTCAGACATGCACTATTTTATGTAGGTTGGCGTTTCAACAAACGTTTTTGAAGGCCTTGTTCGTTGAATCTCGATGATTTGTATACAATATACTGTATATACAATGTACGACACCGTATTCGAATTGTCGACATCAAATGAATTGTGAGTTTTGATGAGTGTGTGTAGTTTGTATTGTTTGACGACCCCAATAGCACATTTTAGTACGAAAATAATTTAGAGCGATGCCGATATGTGCTTCATTGGCTTTCCTGAAGCCGGAAGGTCTTCCTGCCGGACTGCGGTGCCACCTCCGCAATCGCATCTCGCCCTCACCATTCTTCTAGAGAGACTGAGAGAGTCGTAAACTCGTAATCACTCCTTGGTCCATATTTCGACCCGAATATAACTAATAATAGATTTATAGATGTTTTTACTCTATTGTACAAATAAAAATAAATAAATACAGTCTCCGTCTCCTCTCCGTCCCTCAATCTTTCCGAGACTCCGACTCTTCTCCCCGATCGAGGAGTCGAGGACATTACAAAGGCGGTCCAAATTTCGATAAGATTTTATGGAAATATTGAGATTCAGATTTTTATTTCAGAATACTCCACTCCGGTGTTTTTCTTTCGGTTTAATATTTTTGAAACAAAGTGCTATAGTACACTGTCTGCAAAAAAAAATTTACAAACAAATAGTCGACAATGTTTCAATTATCATTAGACGAGGATATTGCGACAATAGTCAAATACAATAGTAGTTGTTTCTTTTTTCTTCTTTTAAACAAGGTTTTATTTTACTGTGGTTAGTACTCCGATATGATTATTGACGAATAGAAACAGTCTCAATTACTCGATTCTCGAAGTAATCTTTCATACTCTACCTCCCTAGTCCCCGGCCTGGGGCCCTGGTCCAGCTTTCTCCCTCTCTCTCTCAGAGTCTCTCACTCACTCACTCTCTCTCAATTCTTGACAACAGTAGTATTTTAGAGTGTAGACCAAACTCAATACGTTATGGGGTACCGAATAGAAGTTGAACGTAAACGCATAATTATCATTGAAAGCGTAAGATGGAAGTCCCTGAGAACCCTGACTCCCTGTTGCCTTTTCGATTTTTGTCTGTCACGGTTAACGTTAATTAAGAGATTTGATTGGCTGGCAATGTCACTCTTTGACCCATTTGCAGACCCCGATAAGGTCCGTTCTATGCCATGGAGGGATCCTAAAAATGTATTTTTCACAAGTTTTCAACTACCCTCTTCAAATAAACGCTATCAGTCCCCACTGCTCCCCTGCCTTATTTTATTCGATTTTAACACGTTATAACGGTTATCATGTGATCAGAAGGGCCTACTTAAGTTCTTTATATAGGACTGGATGGTATGGTGAAAACGATTCACACTAAAGGTTTAGACCCGCAAGATGTACCTGTGAGCATATAAAGGACTGTATTTGGAATAAAAGTTGAGCGTAAACGAATATTTATTCGATCTAAACGGTTGGAGGTTAGGTCACTTAGGGCAAAATATGACATATGTCGTGTATGTGTCTATATAATTCTAGGCCGGTTTTTCCTTTTGTTTTTGAAAATTCTGTGATGATAAATACTCAAAGAGCAAAACACCTTACTCCGGTAACTATATCCATAATATTTTACGCGAGTCCTTAATTTCTTCATAATTTCAAAATATTGCAGAATTTTTGAATTTCATTTTTCAGTATTTCAAAACTTCAATATTTCATAAATTGTCAGTTCCGCTGCTTTTGCCAATTCCAAATTTTGCATTTTACGACGTAAAAATATTGAAGCAGCATTTCATTTCGCTGTATATTTCTTTGAAAATGAAAAAGAGGGTTACCCCTCTTTTTCATTTTGACAAAGAAATGAATGAAGCAACATTCTAATTTCGGAATACTCTTTGGCTTTTGAGCGCGAAAAAGCATACAACAAAACACATGCGTATTTTGAGTTTTTGACACTTCTATTTGTATAAAATTTATGTATACGTATTCTCCAGTTCAACGATAACTTCATCTTGTACGCTTTGTTGGGTAGTATGTGCGTGCAAACAGGCTACGATGAAGAGTGTGAAGAATGCCAGTTGCAAGTAAGTAAGCAGCATATGGCTCGCATATTTATAGTTGCGAAAATAATGATCAACAACACAGAAAATTCTATGTACGCTATAGGTGACTGTATAGAAAAACTCTATCCATTATATGGTCCAGGCGGACGCCGCGACAACGTATACAATGAGAATCACTTTCGTGGATTAGAAGATATTGAAAGCGTAATGAATAGTTCAAACCACCGCGTACATAAACAGTGTTTGAGAATGACTCTCGTTGTGTTTGAGAAACTTATTATGGATATTAAAAAGGTATATAAACCTGATGGACGGGCTAATGTAGGATTTCACGAGATGCTATTTACGTGGCTCACCTTCGCAGGTCAAAAAAATGACACAGGCGTATTTAGCTCAAATATTTGAACGTAGTACACAGACGGTATTCAATGGGATAAGAAAGGCAATATACTACATCAATCTGGCGCTCTACAAAAAGTATGTTGTTATGCCTACTAAAGACATTCCAGTATCATCCAAAATAAGAAATGACACTCGTTTCTGGCCCTTCTTTAGCTGCGTAATTGGGACACAGGATGGCTCACATATGCCAAATATAGTGTAAGAGCTCAACATGAAAATAACTTCAGCGTCTAGATCTACCTCGTATGACATTATTAGCGTCCGATATAAGGGGTTCGTCTTGAAGAGTTTTCTCACTGCGTCAATCATGGCGGATGACGGCTTAGCCTTGCGAAGTAGATTTCAATATTGTGTTCACTCCTCATCTGTTATCTTCCCTGGATCTACTGAAGGGTTTCGACCAATAGCAGGTGCCTATCATGTGTTATAGTGTGTTTTAGAAATCATACTGATCCTTTATGGTAGGGCAGTCCGATGTTCTAAAAAAAAGCAGATTGTTTGTATGTACACTCTTGTTAATAATAGTAGTTTGAAAGACTCACCTGCGCCACCAGCGTTGGCCTCTGCAGTATGGAGAGAAGTTCTCTCATATTCTCACGCGAGCCATCTTGTATCATTTGCATGCTTTCTGCCATGGCGGTTTGAAGAGATTCTCTGACACGCTTCTACTGTCGTCTATGATTTTAAACATATATGAGCACTGTACTTGAGATAATTCATTCAATATAACATGTACTTCTAGAAAACTTGCGCAGACATATTCATACCTATCTGAGTGGGTACGGCCAGGATTTTGGTCCCTGTTGAGTTTAGATACTATGGTCTTCTTACCAGATCTGGATTAGACTCTATCTTCCGCTTCATTACAGGCGATTTTTGTGCTCATTTATAAGATGAATGTATGCTTGATGAATTGCTATTAACATTTACAACATCATCCTCATTTTTGACCGAACCCGGTGGTAGCATAACATTTCAAAAACCCTAATACAATCATGTTGTAACTTTTAAATCCATCTGGTCATCCATTGTATCAAAGATGATATGTATAACCAGAAGGAGCGCTATGGTGTTGCTGTGCGTATATATACGTAACCAACAGACAAATATTCTACAACAGGGATAATATTATTTATTTGTCCTATCGTTGGAAAATTTAGGCCACGAAATGCGTAATAGCCAATCAGAATTTAGAAACTATTGTGTGTTTCGTTGGAGCGAATCCGAGAGACTCATAAAATCCTATTTCATTAGAAGCAAATAAAATATAAAATAAAAATTCTCTTGGTCCATAGGGATAATATAATTTATTTCAAAAATGGCAAGTATGTATGATACAATGAATGAACATATGGTATGGCTCTCATAGTCGCTGTAGTGGGGATAATATTATTTATTTCAAAGGAGTTGTTACAATGTTTGTACATATGGTATGGCTCTCAAAGCCGTTGTAGTGATTCGGGGAAGATCGATGGGAAGAAGTGGTCAGTAAATTCCCTGTTGAAGCTTGGACCAAGTGAGTCGACAAAGGAGGATATGCGCTGGGTCAATTCAGGCCGGTGCTGACAGAAAAACTGACACCATCGAGTGTGCCACGTATTTGCTTTCTGGCCTACTAAATAGCGTACCCACCTCTGTGGTTCGGATCGGGTCTTTATCGTGTAGTGTTGTGGAATGGGCTACTGCAGAGTACGAAATGCCAAGTAGGACCAGGTTATCCGTCATAATTCGGTTGAAGAGCAAGGTTGGGGGTGGACCGATGCCGCACCAGACCACGGATGCACTCGGTATGTGCTGGTTTGCCTGTATTGGAAGTATCATAGGAGGAACCAACAGGCGCGATGAATTTGTTTGAACCAAAATTTGAAAGTAGTACTTCAACAGCGTGATTAGCCGGGGTATAGGAAACATATGTTGATATGTCAGAGACGGGTTGTTCTACATGCTGGGGAAAAGATCCAAGGTGTTCGTAGAGGGTCCAGATACTATAAAATCAAAATACACACAAACTCAGTCTAAATTGCACACTCACCGCACAGGGACACAGACGCATACTCACATTCACTCACAAACAAAAATGTTGACGATCGATCTAACAGGTGGATCTCCAGTAGAGAATCCCTACTACGACTGGAGACGCATGAATTTACGTTTATTAGATCAAATTTTGGATAGATGAACAGTTCCATTTGAGGTCAACGATCTGGTCTTTATTAATGTGTTAGCTGTAGCTAGCACACACGTACAACGGATGAGAAATGTACACATTTCCGCTGGACTCGTGAAGGATGATTTGGAACCAACTATAACAATATATATATATATATATATATATATATATATATATATATAA